TGATGTCCTGCTGTCCTCTGTGCCCGTCCTGATGCCCTGCTGTCCTCTGTGTCCGTCCTGATGTCCCGCTGTCCTCTGTGCCCGTCCTGATGTCCCGCTGTCCTCTGTGCCCGTCCTGATGCCCTGCTGGGCTCTATGTGGTTGTCAGGACGTTCATCAGCAGCTTTTCTCACAGTCTTTCCAAACAGATGTGTTCTTTGGTCGCTGCCTCCCAAAGGTGAAAAACAAACAAACAAAGTGCTGCCGTTGGTTCTTCCATCACTGTAACGGGAACTAGACGTGTGAAGACGTCGTCCTGGACTCTGTGTGGACGCTTTAATGGTCTAGCTTATAACTGTCTAGTCAGTCAGAGGAACAGAACTGAGCTGCATGATCAAACAAACAAACAAACAATCAATCAATCTGGCTTTGTCAGAGGTGAGATGTGTACATATGTGCACAGTCAGAAGAACACCTGCAAACCTAAATGCTTTTGTTTTCCTGCACATGTAAACAGTCCTGGGGAGCATTAATAAGCAGAGACTCGTTAATGTGCTCCTGCTGCTTGTGTTGAGATCAGCTCGTATCCGTAGAAGGAAGGAGCCGACGGATCAAAGTCACTCCCAGGGCTTCATCTCTCATCACCAACAGTACCACAGACCCTAATTATTTAGGGAGCGTGAGCGTTGTGACACCAGGTCTTTGTTCATTTGACCTGTTGTGCTCGTTTCACTGTTTCATGTTTCACTAGAGAAACCATGAAGCAGGTAGAAAGTATCACTGTAGAACAAAAGCATGCTGAATGACGTGTTGTCAGTTGGATCGACGTTTGAGATGAAGGTAGGAGAAAGAAACAGGACCTCCAGAGTCCAGACGGTGGTGCTGGTAGATGAGACGTCCTGGACAGCCTGGATGATGGGGGGAGGTGGGGAGGTTGACAGATTTTACCGATGTGGACAAACAGAAGTGATGAAGTGAATAAAGCAGCAGGACCGTGTTCACCACACAGGAACAGGTCTTCCTCACAGGACTCACAGTTCATGTAACCATCAGAACTCTGCTCTGCTCCTCAGCCATGCAGTGAAAACAGCACCCGGGAGAGGAGTGCTTACCTGCTCCGCCAGCCAGGAGAGGAGAAGGAGTGTCCTCCCACTGCACAGACAGAACCCTGCAAGCTCAACAGCAACTGCTTCCACTACTCCTACAACATCACCGGTAACACAGCAGCCCTAACCCTGGTCCGGTAGAGCAGGATGCACGGTTCTGAGGGTTTCACTAACGCTTTGCTGATGTCTCTGCAGACTGGAGCACATGTCAGCTCAGTGAACGAGCCGTGTGTGGAAACGGCATCAAGACCCGCATGCTGGACTGTGTCCGGAGTGACGGCAAATCTGTTGACCTCAACTTCTGCAAAGAGGTAAGAGGTGTCCTTTGTTCACCGCCTTTCAGAACGCTGTGGGACGAGTTCCTGACACCTGCTGATGCTCTGTTGCAGCTGGGTCTGGAGAGGAAGTGGCAGATGAATGCTTCCTGTGTTGTGGAGTGTCCTGTCAACTGCCAGCTGAGCGACTGGTCAGCGTGGTCCGACTGCACCCACTCCTGTGGTCTGTCAGGTACGTTGGTACAGCCACTCCTAACGGGCCTCTCAGTCCGTCTACAGTCCTGAATAAATGCCCACAAACAAGAAGACCAGGACCTGCTGTCACCCTCTGAGTCCAGCAGCCGGTCCATGTGATGCAGATAATCCAGAACAACCCAGTTGATAAGTTACAGACACACCTGTGGTGTTTGGTTAGTTTGTGCATCCTGAACACAAACACAGTACGGAACCACTAACCGCTGCTGTCTGTGGTCAGGTAAACGATGCAGTACCACAGGAACAACACAGAACTCATCCTGGTGCCCGTCCCAGCACAAGGATCTCAGGAGTAATGTCACAGTGCTTGTTGGCATGCTGACCAAAAAGCTGCTCTTGAAAGCCGAGTCTATGAACACAGGTCATACTCACAGTGGGGAGATTGAAAGTTCAGCAGCTTTGTCTTCATCGCAGCAGGTCCTTGAGTTATGCCAGGAGCTGACAGACATTGTACAGGTTTGATCAGGACGTCACAGGAAGGGGGTGTTAAATACGAGTGTACTGACTCGAGCTGTGATGTGGTGCAGAGACACTGTGACTGACGAGGTGTTGGACAGAAGTCATACAGTCTGTAGCTCACCTGAGATGTTTGGGTTCTCTGCTGAAAGGTAAGCTACCTGTTCTAATGTGTATATCCAGAACAAGTCATATCCCTGGTTCACAGCATTACCTCATCTGTACCCGAAGCTTCTTTTTGCAGTACGGGGTCTAGGTCTGCTTTTATTATTTATTTGTACAGCTGATGGTTTCATCAGACCACAGGAGCTCTGGGTAGCTCCATTCAGTCCTTCTGCTTACCTGTCTGATAAACATCCAGAGGACCACCTGATGCCCAGGTGACACCAGGAGCCTTGTTCTCTCTACAGCTGTTCCATCTGAGGACCTGGCCATGCATGACTAGCTGTAGGCTTAAAGAGCGAGCAGTCTTCAGCCTCCTTTAAAGCTAGACATACAGTAGTTGGCTACATGACATATATTAATAATCTTTAGCTGGTACCGGTCCTCTGGAAGTCTGAAAGACCATTCATGTGACTCCTACATATAAAAGCAATGGAACCCCGACCTCAACAATGACAGACCTGTCTCTGGATTATCATACCTGGAAAAAAATCCTAGAATCAGTTTAAATCATTTCTCTCAGCATCCTTTCTATGGATGATGGTGTTTCTTCTGTAACTGGGTGTAACACTGTACGTGCTGCTGTTGAGTCTCAGCAGTGTCTGGCTGAGTTCCACGCTGCTGAGACTCACCTTTACCTGGTTCCTAACACACATAAAACCACATGAATCAATTCTACTGGAGCCAAAACACTGGCTATGATAGTCCTACCATCTCTACCAGGAGTGGTACGGATACCACAGAGTAGCAGCACGCTGGGCTTTGGACTGAGGAGAAGGTGGCTTTAGCTATGTGCCAGCTTTTCTATCAGTCTGTCATCACCCTGCACTGAGACGTACCAATGATAGCTGATTTAGGATTGACTTTTTTCAAATGTTGTCAGATAATCAGTGAACCTGAAACGTCCTCAAAGCATCGACTGTTCCAGATGAAGCATGACGTCTGGTTTCATCCTATAGGGGCAGCTTTGGAAATGATAAATGTTCGTAAAACATTATAGAAAATGTTCTACCTCATTATTAGAACTCCCCCAGTGCAACCTGCAGACCACAACCTCTGGTGATGTGATCCAAAGCTCACCATGCTGGACGCCCTCCACTGGTGGCTGTGGAGGTTATGGGCAGAACTCTGATTTAAATGTTTCAGTCAGCCTGAGTTTTCTTGGCCCTGCTGTGGCAGCTAAACTGCAGTTACTTGAGATGACCAGGAGAGGAACATTGGTGTTTGTCTGTATCTCCAACATGGCGGCTGTGATGACACAATGCTTTCTGAGCTGAGAGTGATCCATCACAGCTGCAGGCCAGCCGTGCTCTCAGCCGTGTGCTAAACGAGCTAAGCCCTTCTCACAGTAATGGTGGAAACCAGAAGCGCTTCATAATGTGAGTAGCGATGGTGTTACAGCCTAAACCAGCTGAGAAGGATAATAATGTCCTGGCATGTAACTCCATCGGATCAGGCCATTGATTAGCGGTCCATTACAGGCGTGTGCTATGGGGCTCGGGGAGTGCTATGGCGCTCGGGGAGCACTCTGCTCTCCACGAGTCCTTGAGAAGAGCAGCAGCCAGAAGCAACAAGAGCAAGAAGTAGATATGAAGCCAGCACAGGCTCTGGCTATTGTGGTAACCTTAATCTGTCCCCAGGTGAGAACAAAGATTTGTATTTTATGTTTTTCTAGGAGGAAGAAACAGCAGGTGGGCCACGGGGAGAGGGGCTTCCTCACTTTGCTTCCTGTGCTTCTTTTATCTCTGGGCTGGCTGTGAGGACACACTCCCCCGCAGGAGCTAGTTTCTGTTCCAGCGCCAGGAATAGCAATGAGCTGGATTTGTTATTTCAAGCAAATGAACATACCTGGAAGCAGCGAGCTGCTGTTATCAATCAGGCGGGGTAGAAACACAGCTATTTCTTGGACATGGCCAACCTGCGTGCATAGATAATCACGGCATTGTGTGTTCTGCAGCCAAACACTGATAGTGACAGCTGGCACACGCCTTCCTTCACCCTGTAGCCCTCCTGCCGCCCACTGGGCAGCGCCACACTGCCATGGCCGCACACAGGGAGACCACTGGAACATGAGGACTGAATGGAGTGATGCCTGGTTTCTGTGGGCACGAGGCATTAGCATCGTCTGCAGAGAAACCAGTGAACAGGAGCTGAACTTTGATTAAAGACCTGTGACCCAGATTCATTTGAGGTGTGTGTTGAAAGTAAGAGGCCCTTTGGTTTTTATCATCAGCTGGGGGAGCGTTCATCTCCGAACACCGTCCTGGTAATGTGCTGCTCCACTCTGCTCTGAATAGCTCCAGACTGGATCAAACCACCATAACGGGAACGGTGGTCGTTTATTTGTGGTAGCTGGGAGGAAGTCTGTCCCTTCACATTTTACAAGCAGTAAGCACACATGTACATACTAATGTTATTCTGTTGTTTGTGAACAGATTTTACAAACTACTTCCAATGTGCTGGCTTCATCTCAGTTCACTGTTTAAGCCTCAATGTCTGCACCGTCCTCCATCCGCCTGCTGGGACCCAGAGATAGAGCTCAGCTCACAATCTGGAAGAGAGAGGGGAGGTCAGCCAGAGGAGCTATGAACCAGGATGCTCAGGTGTATGAAGATGATGCGGATTTAAACAGCAGCTCCAAGACCAAGATGTCTCATGTTGCCTCAACTCCTCTCTCCTCATGTCTCCTGCTCTCTGATGTTTGGCTCTGATATGCGAGGAGAGGATTTGAAGACAGTTAATTGAAAGTGTATGCTATGAGAAGCAGCAGAGGGCTGAGCGGTGTTGGAAGGGCGGATGATGATCGCCTCCAGCTCTCATGTGAGGTGAAGCTGGTTGTGTCTTAACTCTGGTTCCACACTTAGCTTGACTTTAAGATCATTTTATCTTCTAACTTTTGCCAAAAAGATAAATCTGAATCCGAAATGAATGTTAGTAGGTCCAGACATCTGAGAAGTAGAAGAAGTAAACCAAGTACTGCTGTGTATAGTCAGCGTGTAGAGGCCTGATATAAAAGACAATTAAACCCGTAATAACCCTGAGATGATTCACAAGACACTTTAAATGTACAAGGACTTGCTTTTCTTCTTTTCATCGCCTGTAAAGTAATACTGCTGAATATTTGTAGAGCACATCACATGTGTTTCATCTGGCAGCTAATTAAGAGGTTGTTCTGTTCACGTTCCCTCCCCGGGGCTCTCTGGTAATATACACAGTGAATCTGGTAAAAGGCACGTCATCTCTTTCCCTGCTCACCCTCTCACTTGTTTAATTTTAACACAAGCTATATGAATATTCAGCATGACTGCAGGGAGGGTGATGGAACACCAGCAGGGCTCCATAGATAGCATCAGCTGAGTGAGAACGCAGCACATTGTTGTTGCACTGAGACACAAGGGGACGCTGTATTCCCCAGAAATGTGAGCAGAAATAGGATGAAACCATGAGCAGAGGACGTGAACATGAAGATGCAGTCTAATTACTGGAGCTGCTGTCTCACAGAGGCACCGGCTGGCAGAATAATCAGTGCACTTTTAAAACGGGTCGTTTATACACAGCAGTACTGCAGAAAACACTGTAAACACACAATAAAACGTATGTTAGCCTCACTGTAGGACCGCTGATCTGGACTGACTCCAAAAGCAGCAATTAGAGCCTGCAGCTGGTGAAGAACCTGAACTAGACCTGCTAGTGGATACAGTCCATACACATCATTTACATGACTTCAGTGAATGAACAGAATCCAATGTGAGACACTTCAAAGGTCAAACTTAGGAAATGAAGAGCAGTACACTGATCAGGGGTCGCTCTTTCACACAGCCGGGGTCTCACTGAAGACCAGATTTAAACCCGAATGGTCACAATCAACAACAGACTCTTATCGTCGTTAATCAGGTACCAAACGATGTGACTGGATGCTATTTTCCATCAGAGCCTTGATTCCTGATGTCTTTCAACTACACAGGACTTCTGTTGAACTGATCACACCTCATTGATCTGATGACATCACCATGACACCACTGATGACTGATGAATTAGGGATTTTTTTCAGAGCCTCAGAAGACCCTATCAGACTGGAGTAATCATGCTGAATCTAACTTAATTAAAATCTTATTCAGCTTGGGAACCATTTAGGTGTTGAGTTTTATCAGCTTTGTTTTGCATTTGTTTTTCCCGTGTGGTAGGACAACATGACGCTGAACCGACCATGTGATCAGAACTCATCCTTCACCCAGTCATTTTAGCAGTTTAGCTTTGACTTGAGGATCTGCTGCTCCTCCAGCAGCAACAGGCCCTGACAGGCACTGCAGATCCAGCTGCTACTAGACCGTGATCCTGATCCGAACAAGACATGCAGAGTGGTCAGAACTCCAGTCAGCATCCTCATGAATAAATAGCCTTTTTTCTTTCTCCTGTGTTTTATCTGCTGTTCTCCAGGCAAGCTGTGGAGGAGACGGACAGTGATCCAGGCTCCCCAGGGCGACGGGAGGCCATGTCCGTCCCAGATGGAGCAGTGGAAGCCCTGCCTGGTGAAGCCCTGCTACAGCTGGAGATACAGCAGCTGGTCCGAGTGCAAGTCCGAGGTCAGCTTCAGCTTCTTGACCGCCCAGTTTGGACAGTGTTTGAGAAGCTTTACTATAACATTAGCACCCTTTAAACACCTTATGAGGATGGGGTTAGGGTTATGGGCTATGGCTTAGGTGGTAGAGGGTTGTCCGCTGATTGTAAGGTTGGTGGTTCGTTCCCGTCCACAGTCCAAGTGTCCTGAACCTGAAGCTGCTCCCGAAGGCAGGCAGCAGCTGGCGTGGCAGCTCTGTCACCGTGGAGTGTGAATGTGTTAATGAGAAACACTGTACAGCGCTTTGAGTGCAGCTAAGGTAGAAACTATGAGTGCAGAACATTTACCATTTAAAACACGTTTTCCTTTATTAGAAGAAGTATTTAACATTTTCAAAGAATTTCAAGGAATCATGTAAACTTTTGGATTTTAGAAGTTTGAAATTTCCTAAAATTACCAAAAAAATACAGATTAAAAAAATCTGTTGGTGATTGTAATAAAGTTTGATTTGTCCTCCGTCAGGGTGCCAGATGTGGAGAAGGCCTGCGCTTCAGGAACGTGTCGTGCTTTGTGTCCGATGGCTCGGGTCAGCAGGACAGCAGCCTGGTGGACGACGAGCTGTGTGGAGATCTGGAGCCTTCAGTGGACGGAGACACGCGCATTGTCCTGCAGGAGGCCTGTACCGTGCCCTGTCCAGGTAGGAGGACGGTGGACCGTACAGCTGTGAGCATTGGCAGCAGGAGTTTGCTGACCGACTGATTCACTGATCATCTGATGGTGTTAACGTACAGGACCCTCACATCACATGCTCTAAACAAGCTTTCTGCACAGATGGTCCAACACAGAGAGTAGGAATGTTCCTTTTTAGTGAAGACTACAGAAACCACATTTCTCCACTAACAGTAGATCTGACGGTGGAACAATAAACATGTTGTCCTGCCAGAAACCCAACCAGCTGTCAGACAGCAGTATTGTTTTGAGGTGAACATGGTGTTGTGGGGACAGGTCAGTGGATATCAGACTGTGTGACTGAGCATCATATTTTTGGGCACTTTTTAAGCGGTACTGTTTCACCTGTAATACATTCCAGTTTGTACTGATGGTGTGCAGCTAATGAAAGAACGTCATGGAGCCCGTATAGATAGTGACCAGTCAGACATCTGGAAGCTTTGTTTAGGGCTGAAGGCCCAACACTGGCACGTACAAGCTTCACATTGTACAACAACTTCAGTCAGAGGTGACCAATAGGATGTTAGGGTTATCTGGGCTATCTGGACAGTACCGTGTACTGGTTAGACATTCACCATTAACCTGACTACACAGCAGGACAACACGGCGCCGTTGGGTCTGTTGACCTCTGTTACCATTAGCTGTGCTTACTTTAGCCTCTACAGTAACAACAAAGGCCCGTCGCTGAAGCACTTACTGCTGAGTGTGTGTGATGGGAGGAGCTTCAAGAGCTCCTCCCATCACATGCACTCATCAGACAGCTGAGAGTGTGCCACACAAAGCAACACTCAAGCTGAAAGGTGGGTGGAAGGATGCTGAGGACGATGCAGGAAGCTGATCATGGATGATGGATGATGGATGCTGTACCTCAGTCAGAAGCTTTCAGTTGATACCAGGTTGCTGGAAATAAGAAAACCAGCTCAGTGTGAGGACAGTATATGCACTCATCTGTTCACTGGCTGCAGCAGCTTGGACTGTGTGGCTGGAATCAGCCTGTGATCAAGTTAACGGACTGAACGAGACCACGAGGTTCAGGGGGACTCAGCCAGACCTGGTCCTGCTGCTCTCCTTTCAAACCCTACACTTTGACTAAAGCCGTTCCAGTATCAGCAGGCAGACAGAGAAGTGTGGTTTTGCACTTCTACTCTTTAATTATTGGATGCTTTTTCTGTATGGTGCTCCATGATTAATTAGATGTGTTCTGCAGTAGCTGAGCCGACACTGAGCGGTGGGATCTGTTCAACAGAGGAGGTTGTCTGCTGAGAGCAGCACGGGACTGTAATCAAAAGTCGATCAGGAATATCTGATGGGGAGGACGACATTCATATTTCACCTGAGTATGTATGAGGGACGCTTTCTCTAGTGGACTGAGTCTGATGCTTCTGTCTCTGGCTTCATGAGTCCCAGTCTGAGTCCCGGTCTGAGTCCCGGTCTGAGTCCCGATCTAAGTCCCGGTCTGAGTCCCAGTCTGAGTCCCTGTCTGAGTCCCAGTA